AACCTGAACTTCGACCCCAGCTCGGCGCCCGGGGTCGCGCGCGTGTACGACGCGGTGCAGGGCAGCGGGCCGCTGGCCGTGACCAGCCTCACCGAGGAGCTGAAGAAGCTGGCGAAGCAGGGCTGGTACTGGGGCCCCATCACGCGCTGGGAGGCCGAGGGCAAGCTGGCCAGCGTGCCCGACGGCTCGTTCCTCGTGCGCGACAGCTCGGACGACCGCTATCTGCTGAGCCTGAGCTTCCGCTCCCACGGCAAGACGCTGCACACCAGAATCGAACATTCCAACGGGCGCTTCAGCTTCTACGAACAGCCGGACGTGGAGGGCCACACGTCCATCGTGGACCTCATCGAGCACTCCATCCGGGACTCCGAAAACGGAGCCTTCTGCTACTCGCGCTCGCGGCTGCCGGGCTCTGCGACTTACCCCGTCAGACTGACCAACCCCGTGTCGCGGTTCATGCAGGTGCGCTCCTTGCAGTACCTGTGCCGGTTCGTTATACGTCAGTACACCAGGATAGACCTAATTCAGAAACTGCCTCTGCCAAACAAAATGAAGGATTACTTACAGGAGAAGCACTACTGAGAGGAGAAGCCCTGCATCTTGCACTTTGGGAATAAGAGAAAGAGATTGAAATACAGTTTACACACCGTCATTGCTATCGAAATCTTTTGCTGCCATACTGTTTCAGTTTTATGTGTAAAAGAGTGATCTGTTTCGGGGTGAGGAAGTGTCGACAAGGTGTCTTGGGTTTATTTTGGTTCTTTAAAAAGGGAAGTCTCGAGGTTTTAGAAGTGTGAATTCTTTCATTAATGTGCAGAATAATCACAATGTGAATGATCGGATTCTCCTTAACCCCCTCCCCCCGTCCTTTGCTGCTATCCACTGTGATTTTTATGCATTAAAAAGCACATTTCATGTGTGTTCAACCCTAAGTAAAGTTGAATGGAACTTATAGAATGCAAATTGTTTTGTCTCTTTAAACGGCCCATTTTTTTTTTTCTCAAAGATACTGTTGAGTGAACATACAGACCCCTGTGATTAAAACACAGAATTTTACACGTACACTGAAAATGATTGTCTAATCTCATACTTTAGAAGGATTTACTTAGGATTATGCATTGACATAATCTTGGGTAATGGAACCCAGATCTGCAACATATCTTTTATAACACTCATTTCTAAATTATTTTTAAGGTTTTGCTGTTTGGGCTCCCCCTCCCCCCCCACCTTTGGTTGTGAAAAGTTGAACTTTTCTGTTGCCTTCGTCTTCATCTTGTGGTTTGTCTATTTTAATGAATGGCCTTACATTAAAAATCGTGAAGAGATGTATACCACCAATTTAGAAAGTGTTGCCTTTTCTGTCATTAAGCTCTGGTACAAATTGGCATAACTTATAAAGACCTATGGCACTAGAACTATTATTAAAGAAATTCTAGATCATAGTTTCCTGTGATAGTTTTTTGTTGTTGTTGTTAGCTATATTTTCCTTCGATAAAATGTTTTATCTGTGGTTTCTTTAGCTTAGTCAACATTTTGGGTGAAGACGTAGAACTGATTTTCATGAATGGACTAGATTCTCTTGGAACATTAAAGTTTATATAAAGTTTTAACTTGATTTGAATAGAAAGAAAGCATTGTTTTAAAATTGGATTTATATTTTTATTTTACGTAGTCACTATTAAGATGTGCTTGGATTTGACCATTCATCTCACCAAAAAACCCCCAAAACAACAAACCCAGTGACTTTAGTTGAAAAATTGTGGAAATTCCAGAATACCATATAAGAAAAATATTAAAACCATATCAGATGTATGGAAGTCTATTGCCTACCATATATACTACCATTTAAAAATAGGTTTCCTATTTGTTTCTTTTTAATATAGGTAAATCTTAAGTAAATTGGCATCATTAGTCGGTTTAGTCGTTTTTTTTCGGGGCTGGGAGGGGGGAGGGCGAGCGTGTTATCCATAATACTTTTTAGTTATTTTGAAATTTAGTTGTTTATTCACTGCACAGTTGTTCAGTGTAGTATTTTGGGATTGCCCATGCAGAAAATGTTTCCAGGTATATAGTTTTGAAGGAAAATGTTTCCATCTCAGATGAAACATGTAATTTAAGACATTTCTTCCTTTGTCACTCAGTTTTCCTAGCCCCACGTAAGAACAAGAGTAAAAGGTATTAATGGCTTTGTCATTCAGACATATCAGTATCCCTGTTTTTTCCTTCTGTTTGTTTTTCAGGGTAGAACAGAATTAACCAGAAAAGGCACAATGCCATAATATCGTGTTAAGGTATTTTGACTTAAAGGGGAAAAGGTACTTCATTTTGGTGGAATGTTGACTGTACCTTGTTACAAAGGCCCCTCCTTCACTTTGTGATATGTTTTCACCTAAGATGGGATATTGAGTATACTGTAATAATATAATTTAAGTGTTCACTATAAGCTATTTGGATTAAGAACTATTAGAGATGTAAACTTATCAAATTAATGCAAGACATTTAAACTATTTTTTTGCAAAACTATTTATTTTTAAACAATTTAAAATATATCTAGGGTGAGTTAAAAGTCCCTGTGCATCTATATTAGATGGCAGGTATTGTCACAGAGGCACTGTGTATTAATAATAGTTGTCAAAGTGGCTTCTCCGTGTTTCTAGAAGCGTTTACATGTACTCTTTGTGAGGTCACGGTGCACAGAGGTCTCGGGACTGCCCTGAAGCCCATCTTGGCAGGTGGGCATAGCCTGTTCCCCACACTTTCCCTCATGGTAATGTGTTTAAGATCTGGCCATTTAGTTTCAGGTTAAGATCATTCTGATTTCCATCTGAACTTTTTAAAATTGCATTTCGTGTTTTTATGGAGGGCAAGTCGTGATACCGTTCTAATTTAGAAAGCCAATTTTTATGTGCGTTCGTACATCGTTAGTGTAAAATACTTTAAAGAGAAATGCCCTATTCTAATCCGGTTTGAAATTGCTCGGGTCTGATAGTATATCGATAAAAATAAAGGTATTTGCCACGAAGTTATTTACAAACAAAGGAGTATTGCAATATTTTCTGCTTTTGCTTAGAGAACCATTTGGCATAGGCAGCACACCATATGTGAGAGATTGGCTTTGTAGGGTACTAAAACACTCTGCTTAAAAATGGAAAGGGGGGAAAAGAGACAAATTTTCGTCCTGTAGTTTGGTCTAGATACAATTTGGGTTACTTTCTGGATTATATATAATGGCGGCTTAGATGCCATGGACACGACCTGTGAACGGTATTTAACTACGTGCTTTGAAAAATCTGAGCTCAAGACAAGAAAAAGGAAACAGGAAAGCTCTATCTTTTCGCCATAATAAATGAACCAGTTTTTTTTTTTTTATTTTAATCAAATATTTTATCCCAAAACATGATGGAGGCCAGAAGCTATTTCCAGGCTTACTAGGACACTATTATGCATTTTTATAAAAAGAAAGCATAGAAAGTACTTGAAAAATATCTCACTCTCTAAGGAAAACTGTTCTTTTTCTACTTGGTGCAATAATCTGAAGATTTAGAATATTATATCACAGGAAATGATCATAGAACTAAAAATAGTGTTTAAGGAAACCAGCTACACAGGGCAAGCCTCTTGCTATTGAAGAAAATCGTGTGCCAAAAGGCTAACTCATGGGCATATAGGAAATAACCTACACATTATTTCTGAGCCAGTATTATTGAAACAGGATAAAAGTTACTAAAATCTTAAATAGGTTATATGCAATGTCTCCGCCAGTGCTACAAGTCTAAATATGTTTCTTAGCAGTACTTTCAGAAACACCACTTTTAATCGTACATTTCACATGTACGAGAGATTTGCTTTAAAACAAACAACTCAAATATTATATTTTCAATCTTAATGGCTTTGAATGTGAAGTCTTAATTTGAAAAGGAAATCACTACCAGCAATAGACAGTTTTGTTGAAAACTCTAATTAAAGGAACAATCGCCAGTTCCATAAATAACTATAAAATTCTAAAATAAAGTATTGGTACGCTAGTAATCACAAATTTGGTTTCTTTGAATACTTTTTTAATCCTGTAAAGAAGGTTTTTTATAAACATCCTTTGTATTAATCAGTCACAACATGGCAAATGCGTAGTTGCTGTTTCTGAAAAGATACACTCTCCATCCAGAGATGATGAAAAATTCTTATAGAATTTTGTAATGAGTATACATGTTGGGTTAAATAAATTTTATAGTCGTTGGAGTGCCATGAAGTTAATACTTGCAATCCAGATTGCTGTAGTTTACACTTTTTCTGTATGTTTCAAATCAGGTGTGTACCATTTGTACTGAGAACACCACAGAGTGAATTATCCAAAGTCCATTGATTTTAATACGTGTTTTGGTTTGTAAACAAATTATAGTAATTTCTTGCACATTTTTGGAAGTTAATTGTATAAGGATTTATGTATCTGCTTCTAGATACAGTGTGTAAATAAAAATTTTGTTCACAAGATCTGCCTTGTAGTCTGTTTAATACACAGAAGCAGATTTTAAATTTGTATAGGCTTAACTAGATAACTTTTGGATGCCCTATAAACTGGGCAGAGCCTGGAGGGATAGGGTCTAGCAAATTTTAGTAAAAAGGGAAAAGTGAAATAGTGTCATTCATGGGAGACAGTGAGCAAATTAGGAATCAGCCAATGTTGCCGAATACCCAGAAGCCTTCCACGCAGAGGCTGGGGTGAGCTGGCAGCACCTCTGGAAAGGGCCAGCTAAAGTTAACACGGCCCTCAAGCCTCACGGAAGAGATTGGGCTGAGTGGTAAACTGTTGGATTGTGACATTTTAAAAAACGTATCTCTGATGAATAGTATTTTGTAGGTTATCAAAATGTGTAGAAGTCAGAAATTCATAGGTTAGAATGATTTCTCATCCATCGAATTTGATGATGCGCTTTAAAGTTCTTAAACACCACTTTGGGTGACATGTTCATTTTAAAATGTTCTCTTTTTAACATGGCCTCTTTCATCCTAGCCAATTCAGAGGTGAATTTAAAAATGACCGTGTTCAGGATATAGCACACATTTTGACTGTCATAGAGCCCAAATAGCATGACGTTCTGATGTTCCAGAGCTGGTACCATTTTTGACAGCATCGACTTCAGTTTTAATGCCCTCCTTACCTGCCGATGGTGGTGCTCATGAGCTGTGGCATCCTGGGAAAGAAGAGAGCGGGCAGGCTTCTCAAGGTCGTGTCACGTGAATTTAGTCCTTACTATCTGCTATTTTAACCTCCAGTCTAGCTTTGCTTGCTCTCAGATCTAGCTTCACTTAAACTTCTTAGTTTAAAAAAAAAAAAAAAACTTTAAATCTTTTAGCTTTTTCACATTGCAACTTTCAGTTTTAAGGGTTTCCTAACCTTCTGAAACATCTTTTTCAAGCATTTGACTCTTCCGGTCTCCTTCCCGTTTTTGCGTGACGGGTCTCGCTAAAGGATGTTTTTGCACCGGCCCCTTTGTTCCCTCCGTCCCCGAGTCTAGGTCCGCTGGTCACGCAGCAGCCTGACTCTGACATGGCGTGGAGTGCTGCAGGAGGGTTTCGTAGCCCGACTCCTGGAGTGACTTTTGTCATAAGCTGCATTCTCCCTGCACCTCTTCCGGAAGAATCAGAGAAGGGCCCTCTTGGGACAGGCTCCCTCAGGTTGTAAACGCCAACGAGAGGCTGGCCAGAGAAGGGATTGTTTCACGGGGTTTCGGAAAAGGACCAGTTACTTTGCCTACCGGTCATTTTGGACCATCAAATCCTGTCCTTGGTAGCTGGCTTGCAAGTGTAAATCTCAAAAAGGAAACTCTTACTTTTTGATCATGTGACACAGATTTCCCCACACCAAGAACATTCTAGGAAGCACAGATCTATGCGAGGCCGATTTCAGGTCTCTGATTTGGCTCTGTGGGTCTAATAGACACGAGGACTTGATGACGCCAGCCTAGGTCACAAGTGAATTTATAAAGTGTCATTTTAAGTATATGGAATTACACCCAAGAATCTTATTAAGCAGAGCTGCTCGTCTCTTGTGTAAATAACCTGCTGTCTAGCCCCGCCCCGCCCCTAACAGTTTTAAGAGGTGGCACCTCTAGCCCTCTGCATCAAGGACTGTCATTCTGAAGCCACTGTTCACCTGCCGCCTTTGCCACAGCCTGCTTCTCTCTCTCACTATACTCCTTGCCAACTGTGTCTGCTTATGGCTGCAGGTGGTGAGCACTACTGGGCCCAGAAAATTACCAGCCTAACAGTGGCTCTGGCGTGTGACAGTTACCTAGGAAACCATAGATATATATCTTTAAACATGGAAGAATCCACTGCTCTACAGTAAACGGGTTCTCCCAGAATCTAGTTAGTGAAATCACCAGGTGAAACTTAGCTGGATTTTACACCCAAAATCTCCCGCCCCTTTTGTGTACCCCGAGACTCCGCTCCCCGCGGGACCCTCACTTTCCTTGGGTGTTGTATACTTAAGCTGAATGTAGTACTCAGAAAAAATTAGATGCTGTATTACAGAGCCATTTTTAAAGACATCTCTCAGTGTCAGGTCTGAATTACTTCGTTACTATTTTTACTAATTCGCCTTCATTAACTGTATGGTACAGTCCAGTGCTGATGAATTCTTCATCAGTTCAATCTCTGAGAGTAAGTATTGAGCTGCTATTACGTGCAGGACTGAGAGCAATTTAAGTGAGATGAGCATCAAGGAAAGAGGGTTTGATGAGACCTAATCTTGGGTAGCGGGGAGGCGAGTAAGGAGGAGAATGTAGTCTATTCCATCTTCACTGAGGGAAGACTTTTACTTCCCCCAGTCGTAGATGATGATATTATGGTGGGCGGCGGGAGGGGCTCCGGATCTCGAGCCAATAATTCCATGTCATCCAGACCCTCTTCTTTTACCTGTAGTCGCTGGAAGTCAGCTTTATTCTCAAGCTCTTTCCCGCGGGGGCCGGGGGAGGGGACCTAGATGCTGGCAGTGGGGGAGCCACATTGTCCTAGTTTTGCGATCAGCAGACACGAGGAGTTGTTTTCCTCTAAGATTCTAGCCAGACCTCCAGATTGCTTAACCTGGGTCCCAGGTCCATTCTTGACTCAGAATAGCGGGCTTCTCGGGTGGGTGAGGCTGGGCCAAGTGGCGTCTGCGGTTGGAAGGTGGAAGTCAGTCCCAACACTGCCTGCTCTTCTCCACCGCGGGGAGGGCGAGGTCCTCGGGGTAGATATGTTAATGCATGAAGGAAATATGCTAATCAATTTTAAATATGTATGCAAATGAGCCCTTTCCCGCTAACAGTTTTCTATTATATGAAGCATATTAAACACCACGGTAAACCTTTCAAGTTCATTCTTCTGGGGTGATCCTGTAAGGTCACCCACTCACTATAGGCGTACTTAGATTTTTGTGTGTGTGTGGAATAGTGAAATTATCTGGTCTACTCACCCCTCTTCCCCCAGGTCATAAAAAATCTGGAATGCAGACATAGGACAGCAAACCAGTGTTGACCACTTCTTGGAAAACTATGTGAAAACATTTGAAATCTTTTAAGTGCCATGTGATTTTTTTAAAAAGCCGCTCCGATTAACAATCCATTAATGGCTGATAAAAGTTCAATGATTGAAAAGTTTCCTTTCCTTGCTCACTCTAAGAGATCTCACTTTTAGTCAGAATTGTTTTGTTATAGTTTTCTCTGGCTACCATTTATTTATTTGTTTTATTTTTTATTTTTCAATTTTTCAATCCAATATTTTATATTAGTTTCAGGCGAACAGCATAGGGGTTGGCAAT